GATTTCATGTAGATGTTAAACAGGAGCAGAGAAAGCTTCAAGCTGGATCTATCACTCCCTAATAACATCAATTATGACCAAGGAAGGAAGTGAACCGGTATAGAACTGTGCCACTCATCTTCCAACTTCCTAAATTGGCCCAAAAGAATACCATGGTCGATGGTATTGAAAGCCATCAAGAGGTCAAGAAGAGCAAGGATGTATGCACCACCTCCATCCTGCCCCCACCAGAGATTATCTATGAGCACGACCAATGATTCCATGATTCTTCAAACCTGAATTACCAAATATAATCCGTCACTGAAATATATCTAAATATTGCAGAACACAAAGGAACCACACAAAAAAATCCAATGCAAAAGCCAAGTGTTGAATAGAATCCTGGTTCAAACAATAATTCTCTGTTCTTGAAAAGTATTCTAATAGGTAACATGGCATATTCTTTAGGCTAGCACCAGAAGATTCTAGCCAATGTCTTTAGCTCCTTAAAATCCACTTTTTCTCCTGTTCAGCTTGCTTTGATTCTGGTTTTATCTCTGTGGTTGTAAGAGAGCATGGATCTCCCAGAGAAGGAGACACACACAGGGTGGATTTGATTTAAATCAAACTGTTTCATGCTGAATAAACTAAATGATTAATGTATCTTAAATAGAAAACTATCTTTAGATAGATTTTTACTACAAAAGCATTTTATTAAAATAAATTTGATAAAAATCAAAAAAATCTGATTTAAATCAAAACAATCCAATTTTTTTTTTAAAATCATCGAGTTGAATGTCCTTGAACATTAACAAGATACTGCTGCTTTGCTCCATTTTTAGCTATGCTGTGCATGTATCTGAACAAAGTTAGGCATTGCAGATTGAAGATTTCCAGACTTGACAGTGGGGATGGGGAGACACTGTCATGTTTTGGATACCTTGCTGTTTTAAAGGGGGGAAAAAAAGAAGAAGCTATCCAAGGAAAGCTGGTGAACTTGGATGCACCTTCTGCCTCCAGCTTTTGTAAACAGGCAGAGACATGAACACAGCTTCCCTAGCAAAAGACTGTATCTCAGAGGTCTGATCAGGCAGGCTCTGGCTGGCCAAACCACTGCATATATAACAAAGTTTTATTTCTTCTCTCTGTCTCTCTCCCAGAGCTTCAGTTACATTTTTGCCATTTCCTGTGGAAAAATGAACGCTTTTGAAGCCTGTGTGTCTATAATATAGGCAGCTCAAACATACACAAGGCTGACACAAAAAGAATTGAAAAGAGAGAGAAAGATAAAGCAGAACAACTCCACCAAAAAAGTAATTTAGGAGGTTCAGGGCAGGGATTAGGCCAGAGGTCTTCAAACTTGGCCGCTTTAAAACTTGTGCTGGCTGGGGAATTCTGGGAGTTGAAGTCCACAAGTCTTAGAAGCAGCCAAGTTTGAAGACCTCTGGGTTAGGCAGAATATGTCCCTTAATCCATTTTCAGGGCCTTAAAATCCCTTCTTGCCATTATCGATTTTTGGTGTCTTTATTCTCAGATACACATACCAAAAGAAAAAGTCAGAAACTTATTTTAAAAATCTCCTTCCCCAATCCGTTCCTTCAAGTCTTTTAAATGCACATTTTAATATATGCACGGAAAGCCAGTTCAATGTAGTGGGTAAGGCACCAGACTAGAAACCAGGAGACTGACTTCTAGTCCTACCTTAGGCATGAAGCCAGCTGGGTAACTTTGAGCCAGTCATTCACTCTCAGTCTCAAGAAAAAGACGATGGCAAGCCATTTCTTTTTTTAAAAATGCCAAGAAAACTATAGGGATTTGTCAAGGTAGTCGTCAAAAGTAAACACTGACTTGAATGGGAAAAAAAAGTATTTGCATAAAATAATGCTACCATTTACCTTTTTTCCCCCTTCTCTCTCAGCCCCATTGATTTGTATTATTAATACCTCAGGAGGGCCCACGGGGGAGGGCCTTCTCTGTGGCTGCCCCAGCTCTCTAGAACCAGTTACCTCCTGAGGTCCAGACCATCTCCACCCTATTGGCCTTCCAAAAAGCGGTGAAGACCTGGCTTTTCTGGCAGGCCTGGGGCCGTTGGTCTCGCTCTTGCGATCCGGCGAGATCCGGCCATGTATGGTATGAATGAGTTTTAATGTTTTTAATTTTTAAATGTTTTTAATTAGGATTTTAAATGTATTGTGAGCCGCCCTGAGTCTTTGGAGAGAGGCGGCATATAAATTGAATTAAATTGAAAAATTGAACTGAAATGCTTTACACGTGAATATCTGGAACTCCATGGGAAAGAAAGAAAGATGGCAGACTGGAAGAAGGAACAAGTCATGAGAAGGAAGGACACCAATCATTCAGTCTTGTCATGTTCCTCTGAAATTGGGTAAAGACAAACCAAAAAAACCAAAGACTTGGAAGTCAAAGATCGCCATGCAAAGAATAACTTTTAAATGCACACTTAATTTTAGCAATCTCAAAAGCAGAAAGACTTGGAAATCTTAGAAGCCCAAACTATCAAAGGCACAAAGTCCCTCAAGCACAAACCTGAAACAAGTTAGAATCCTACATAATAAAAACTACCACTACCCCAAAAAAGGAGGATGAGAAGAAAATAATCCCTTTTTAAAAAGAGATTTGCTAATATTATTACTCTTGTAATTTTGTATCATGTGTATTTTGTGTCAAGAAAGGCATTTTGCCTGAAATATAGTATTTGCCCTTCATCTGTCACTATAATAACAAGAGCTGCACATTTGTAAGATAAGGCAAAATCCAAAAATCTCAAAACAGCACTCTGGGGCAGACGTCCAGGAATCTATTCAGGAAAAGTAGTAGGACACCTCTCAAATACACAACTGCTGGTTAACCACCTAATGTTTAGTATCTAAACATCCCTTCTAATTGAAGCAAACAAGTCCACATTCAAAACCAACCAGCGAATAGAATGTGTAGACTTCAAATCCCATAATTCCTCAGCCACCTAGAAGGATCACAAATATACTTACAAAAGAATGAATTAACTTGCAATAAGGTGGCACCCGTGATAGTTAATATTGTTTTTGAAACCACTTATGCAAAGGCACTAATAAGCTGAAGTTCAGACCTTACAGTCCTAAACAGTCCTACTCTTTTATACTATTCAAAATTTGATGCACTCCTGTTTAGCCATGGCACATCTGGAAGACATGCAAATTTCATGGGCTACTCTGCTCATACCCACAACTGTTGCTTCTGTGACATACTAATGACTACATATTGGGTGGACAGAAGGTTGATTCATCCTGATGCAGAGATTTGAGGACGAATGGTTTTTACCAATGTAAGTAAAACGATGCAAGGAATATAGGAAGAAGGAATTAATAGATGAAACAAGTGCTGTCCTCGGAGATGGATAAGTTTGCAGAAGTCAGTTGCAGAGATGCTCAGAAATAGCTTGCTTCAAATATTTGCTTCAAGACAAATACCAATTTTCTTCCTGCTCAAAATCTCTGCAAAGAAGCTCAGATACAATGGAATATAATTGTTCAAGAGAACAGTGTTTCTCAATGTGAGTTAAAATGTGGTCAATTAGTTTTTCATTCAAGATGCCATGCATGTCTGTTTAATTCATAATACCAACCCAACCAACAGATTGAGTTAATAATGGCTTAACATATAGAATGCAAATACAGTCAGTATCTATTTGGCACTCAGGAAACCAAATAATCTTACAGGGTTAATAGATATGCAGCTCTTACTACCTACATAATACTGCAAGATAGATCTTTGCCCCCCAAAGCAATCCAGTCACATTTAGCATGGGGAGGCACAAAGGCAACAGATGTACCCTTCATCCCTTTTGTCAGGATTAAGTGACAGATCTGTAAATACAACATATACTCTTCAACCGCTCCCGAATCCAAACCATGGGAGGAAGCAGAATTCAGCCTCCCCTAGGATCCTGTGGCTTAGGATAGTAACATTTCTGAAGAATGGACAGACTTCTCCAAGTTAAACCACATCATACAGCTCTCTGCTAAAAATGGATGCAAAGTACAGCTGTCACCAACACTTCTAGGAACATCAGACAAAAGCTGCAGCCTTCTCGAACACTACATAGGGGATGGGCTACCATTGTGTAACTTGACAGAATCAGGAGTAGAAATCCAGCAAGTGAGGCCCAAGAATTAAGGTACACAGGAAAATAAGTGGCAACCTACAATTCATTTTAAAAGTTAGAATAAATTAATGATGGTCAGTTTGTTGTATCAATAAGGATATGAGGCCATTGGAAGCAATAATGAGAAGTAATATCGCAACAACTCCACACAGAACTTCAACCCAATGAATGACTTCAAAGTAGTCAGATTGATTTGAAAATCAACCTTGAGTTCATTGGTAACAAAACCCAAGCAAAATTAACATAAGTTAATTCCCATAAAATTATAACAAAATTAACATCAACATTCTTAGCGAAAAGTTTCCATAGACAGGTGTCCCATCTCATTGAATACATCAAACCCAAGGTACTTCTGATGGCCAACACATCTAACAAGCTACTACTGCCATCTTCCCTTGCCGTGCTAGCTGAAGATCATGGGCTTTGCAGTCTAAGAGATCAGAGCAACACTAATTAGGTCTTGGGCTAATCAATTACTCTGGGAAATTATCAACATACACAGCTGGTTTCACAGCCACAGGGCCCAGTGCTTATCCCTGTGGATACTAATAGTAATTACTCCACAGTAAGCCTGCATAGGGCAGTCAGCTGAATTCAACAGGGACAAGATATTCTGATTATCTTGCCTTCCTAACACCTTCCATCCAGATCCACCTAAACGTTAGCAGTAAAATAGATGCCCCTTTCCTTTGCAGAGCCCGGGCATCCTTTCCCTCTCTTGTCGCTGGCGGGGGGGGGGGGGGGGGTGCAGGGAGTACCCTACCCTCATCTTAGTGGGGCTGTCCGGCGCGCAAAGCTTGCAGACTTCTCCTTCTCCCCCCACCCTCCCCATAACAGGTGGGCAGGGCCCTTGACTCACCGCTGGCGTTTTTCCCGCAGATCAGGTGCTGGTAGGGTTGCAGCAGCCCCCACAGCTCCGAGTCGTTGTTGACCGTCTGCTCCAGAGACTCGAGCGTAAACTTTGGCGCTTCGTTAGCAGTCAGGCTGCCGCCGCCGCCGCTGTTCGTCTCTCGCTCCTTGTTGGCGGCGGCGGCGGCGGCGGCGGCAGGGGGCAGACTGGCGGCGGAGGCGGCACAGGTCCCGCCAGAGCCGGCGCTGGAGCAGGGGCCCCTGTGGTGCAGCTGAGCCTGTTGCGGCTGAGGCGGCGGGTTGTTTTGGTGGGGCTGCGTCTGGGGCTGCTGGTGCGGCGCCGAGGCGGCGAGCTGCAGGACCCGGCCGTAAACCTCTCGGAAGAGGTTCTCCATGCAGGCGGTCAAGTAGATGGCGGCGTGCTCGTGGATTCGCACGGCCACCCGGCTGTCCACCATCCAGCGGTAGAACTTGCCCACCGAGAAGGTGAGGCCGCAGCGGGTCGACTTGCCCCGGCTGAAGCGGTCGCCGCCGCTGCTGCTCATGTTGTAGAGGGACAAGGCGCCGAGGGCGGCCGCCGTGCAGCCGGAGGCCAGGCTCCAACCCAGGACGATCTCCATGGCGCTCTGGATCTCGTACTTGGTGCATTTGGCGAAGCGCAGGCTCAGCCGCTGAGCCTCCCTGGCCAGACGGATCAGAGCCCGGCTGACCAAGGTGGAAAGTCTGGCCAAGGCGTCTTTGCAAAGGGGGCCGCCGCCATCGCCGCCTCCTCCTCCTCCGCCGCCGCCTCCGCTGCTGCTGCTGACGGTGGTGGAGCTGGCGGCGCTGCTGGAGCTGGCGGCCGGGGCCACCCCTAGCCCTCGGGCCTCTTTGCGCTGCGGGAGGAGGACCGCTTCCACCTCGTCGAGGCTCCAGGGAACCTCCTCAAGGTCAGGCAACAGCCTGGAGCAGTGCTGCCCGGCGCAGTCCAGCACTTCGGAGTCTTCCACCAGGACAGTGTTGACGGTGTCGAAGCTGTTGTGCCGACTGTGCATGGAGTCAGTTAGGCGCTGCTGCTGCTGCTGCCAGCTGTTTCCTCCATAGGGGTAAGCCGAGTGAGGGGAATCGGAGCAGCAGAGGGATAAGTTGGAGGACCTGACGGAGTCTGCGGCACCACCATAGCCCGAGTCCAGCGTCAGATCTTCCAGCGTCCTCACCACCGTCTTACCTCTCCTTGCCATCGCTGCACTTCATGCTGCACCAGCAGGAAACTTTGAAAAAGAGAAAGGCGGCGGCGGCGGCGGAGGCGCCCCCGAAAGCCTCCGCTCCTTCTTCTCGCGGGCTCCAACTTCGCAGCTCCCACCACGTCTGGTTTGACTTTCGAGCAGGTCCGCCGGGCGAACGCCGTACCCCTTCCCCGCGAAGGCGATCCGCATTGGCAGAAGGACGCGCGGCGAAGAAGAAGCGCCACGAAACGCCCCTCCGGTGGCTTCCCAGTTGGGAAAAGCGGCAGCCGCCCTCCGCTCTTGCCCGACTCCGGCACCGCACTACCCTGCACGCTCAAGCCAGCCGAAGGAGGCAGGGAAGGGAGAGCGAGAGAGAGAGAGAGAGAGACGGGAGGCGTGGTTATGCAAAACACTTCAAACGGGAACCAATGGGAACGCTTTCGTTGCTACATTCTGGGACTTGCTCCTCCCCTCCCCTGGCAGCTGCGACGGCGGAGAAGTGTCACTTTCTCTCTCTCCCCCCCCCCCTTAAAAAAAATCCGTATTTTCTCCAACAGGCTCTCCTACATTCGCTGTTTTCGGGAACATCCAAGGAGCTTTGATCTCGCCATCCCGGCCTGGCTGGCTGGCTGGCTGGCTAGCTAGCTTTTTATTTTATTTTATTTTATTTTATTTTATTTTATTTTATTCTATTCTATTCTATTCTATTCTATTCTATTCTATTCTATTCTTTATTTATTTATTTATTTATTTATTTATTTATTTATTTATTCATTTATTCATTTATTCATTTATTCATTCATTCATTTATTTATTTATTTATTTATTTATTTATTTATTTATTTATTTATTTATTTATTTATTTATTTATTTGTATTGCTCTACCACTGGGGGCGGGCCGGCGAGCGGAGGAAATCGAAAACCCGCAAGATCTTGTGTTGTAGTAAATTCAAAACAGATCCAAGATGCTCCGGGAAGGAACAGTGGCGATTTTTTTGTTTTGAAAAATTCCAATATATATATATATATATTACGCAGCAAGAGGTGGGAGAGAGAGAGAAAAGATCCATTCGAAACAACATTGACGAGTGAGACGGAAAAGAAGCAGCGGCGGAGGCGACTGCGGTTAAGTTGCTGTCGGTTCCTGGTTCTTGGCTTGGCTTTACCGGCTGGAGGTGTTACGTTGTCGCCAACCTGAGATCCTGGGATTTGCGGGAGGACGAAGGGTGGTGGGGGGGGGGAAGAGAGGGAGAGAGAGAGCTTCTCTGCAGGTGCGGAGCCGCAATCGCCCTCGAGGTCTTTGCCTCTCCTGTAATTGTACTTATGGCGCTTGAGGGCCGAAAGGAACGGCGGTGGCAGGTTGGAGCACCTGTCCTTCAGTGCGATCGAGCGAGTCCAGGTGATGTTAGCAACATCTGTCGGGGGAAATTTAACAGGGAATGCCAGACCTTCGTCACTAGCTCAGAATAAAAGGAGGAACGTTGGAATGCATAGCTTGTCGGGGGCGAGTCGAAGGGAATCACCTCCCACCTTTGGAGGTACCCAAACTGATCCCCAAGAGCCCCTCCCCCTTTATTTCAGCCTGTAGTACAAGCGAACTTTGAAGGTTCAGGAGCTGGAGATCGAGGATGCGTTAAAACAAAACCTCTCCCGGGAATTAGAGTCTCCCTCAGCCATAGAAAGAGATTGGGAATCATTTGGGAATCACTATGAAGAGGAGGGTGCAAATCAAACCGGTATTCCCCAACCTGGTGATTGGCAGGGCTTCAGCTCTTTCAATCCTCAATCAAACTTGGTCTTCATTGGCCAGGGATAATAGCAGCTAAGGTCTTACATATCTGGCATATCTGGCAGTGGAGAAGGCTGTTCAACTAAGAGCTTGCAGTTCCACAGGAACCAACAGGATCCGGGTTACATTATCAGCTTTCTCCCAAATGGCACCTTCCGGATATATTCTATAGGTAGTCCTCGACTTACAAACACAATTGAGCCCAAAATTTCTGTTGCTAAGTGAGACATTTGTTAAATGTGTTTTGCCCCGTTTCCTGACCTTTCTTGACACCGTTGTTAAGTGAATCACTTCACTTGTTAAGTCAGTAACATGGTTTTTAAGTGAATCTGGCTTCCCCATTGATTTTGCTTGTCAGAAGGTCACAAAAAGTGATCACATGACCATTGGGATACAGCAGCGGTCATAAATATGAAGCAGTGGCCAGTCATCTGAATTTTGATCACATGACCATGGGAGACGCTGCAAACATTGTAACTGTGAAAAAGGGTCATAAATCACTTTCTTCAGTGCTGTTGTAACTTTGAACAATCACTAAACAAACTGTTGTAAATCGAGGACTACTGTATTATAATGTCCATTGACCTTTTCAACAGAACTTTGTTGGCTGACAATGAAATCAATTGTAGTCCAATGCATCTTAGAAGGTGCTGGTTTGGGAAAAATTACTATTCATTTATAAATTCCTTGAAGAAATGATCTGAATTCTTGTGTTCTCTTCACATTATTCATGTTTATTTATTTAAATGATTTATGTGGCTTCCTCTCTCTCAGCAGTTATTCCAGATGGCATAAAAGATTAAAACAACAGCAATTCCATAATTCATATCAAACTTTAACCAATAGAGCTTGCCTAATCTTCTCACTCAAATTCATGGATATGTGTATGAGCCAATTGGGTCATATTCGTATTTTCAAGAAATCTGAAATTCATAACTCAAGAAATCTGAGACTTTGCAGAATTCCTAGCAGTGAATTAGACTGACCAAAAAAAAAAATGACATGGAATAAAAAAAAAGTGTTGTGTCTCACTTGAACATTCGGTATTTTTCTTGTAATAATTTTAAGAGTCAACTGCAGCTTTGTAAATAGCACAAAAGGTTTAGGATTTTTTTAATCTTACAAACTCTTCTATAGATTGTTTGTGCAAGCCAAAACTGAACAGAGATACAAAGTCTGTACCATATTCTTCCCACATGCAACATCTCCACCCTAAACTTGTATCAAAATAGCTGTAATTATTTAAATGTGCTTTTCATGAAACTTCATCCTTTTCCATGGAGTAAGGAAGAGGAGCATGCTGATCTGGGGACCACCTCTCAGATTTCTTTAGCAAGTGTAACCATTGCTGAAAGATTGGATAATAAATGTATAGAGTTGGAAATAGCATCTGGGCTCCTGCTTAGTGCAGGAATCCAAATGAGAGCATTCCAGATAGATGGCTATCTCATCTTTGCTTGAGCACATTCAGTAAAAAAAAGAATCCACTACTCCCTTGGGTAACTGCTTCCATTGTGAAACTTATTGTTAGGAATATGCCATCCTGTGGCTTAAATGCATTGGTCTATCTATACAATGAAATCTTGAACAATTGAGAACAGAAGTTTTGCTTCCTTTGATGTAGCATTCTTTCAGATATTTGAAGAGAGCTACTTTTTTCCACTGTCTCCAATTAGTGTATTTTATTCAAGGTTAAATATATATACATAGCTCTTCCCGATACCTTTTGATAGATAGGTAGGTAGGCAGGACTTAAAAATGAAATTCTGTTGTCTGCTTTCATAATACATATCGGAAAGAGGAAGCTTGAGAGTTCACAAAGTTGATACTATATGGAACAAAACTGACTGAATTTGGATGTTCTGATTTAGATACACGAAGCTGCCTCCCAGAAGGTAACAAGAAAAACAGGTCATGAAGAGGATGTGTAGCATCCCAGACAATACTTCAGTATGGTATGTCCTGGATAGAAGGAAGTGAACTGCCAATAATCTTTTCTGCCATCCTTCTCTGCACTGCCTTCCTGTCCGAAGCAGTAATGCTTCCAACCCAGACTGTAATGCAATATGAACAGGATGTTCTATATTGCCCCTCTATAGAAAGTGGTAAGGACAGGGGAAGGAAGACATCACAATGTGGTTAGTGACAAACCTTGCACAACAGTCATGGGTCAACAAGGTTGGGTTTCTCTTAACTTTTCATTATTAATGTACAGCCAGAAGCCCTAAAATTATTAGAAGACAAAACAGGTTGCAGAAGATTAATGATACAATGACAGTCTCTATTTAAAAACAGTACAAAATAAAGTAAAATACAACAAAAATACAAATAAAAGTGATGAGTATGGATATAGAGAATAAGTATATAGGTCCAAACCTTAATCAATATCAGAGTCAACCAAGAACCTTCTAATAGCAATTGCAATCACGTAACACTTCATTACGTTCCTGGAAAAATCCAGTGGAGAAGTTATCCAGTAAAAAAAGATAACTTCAATTTCAGATTAGCCTGCATAATGGGTAAGAAGTGGGATTATAAACTCTTCACTCCAATAACAATAGAGAAAGTCTTCTGATTCATTTGGGGAATTAGAGCAGATACAAAAACCTTCTGCGTAAGGAATGTTACTACTGTAGTATATGATTACCATGTCAGCATTGAGGGTTACGCATTAAACTTTGCTAATGTAATGCTGTTTTATGTACTGCATAGCAGAATTCCATAGGGTAAATGGGAAATATGAGAGAATTTATAGAAAAGGTCTTTCAGACAGTAGGATGAAATTTTAGAGCTGCAGAAATCTTTATCCTGCTCAAGAACTGGCTTAGTTTCCAATCTTCTGGTACACCCTTCTCTGAAGTTGTTTTAGTTTCTTCGAATCCTTAATAGGGTTCCAGAAAATGGATGCAGTGCTCAGTGTGGGATTACCAAAGCAGAGTAAGATGCAACAATGACTTCCTGTGATTTGGAAATCTTATTTCTGTTTATTGCGTTTGTCTTCCTTTGAACTATGCTATACTGCTGACTCATATTGAGTTTGTAACCAACCACTATCCCCTCATCTTTTTCACAACCCATTACCAAACTAATAGCCATATCTGTTAAATGTCATTCTTCATTTTCAGTCCACTTTTTTTAACCTATCAAAATCATTATGGGTTTTATTTCTCTCTCCTATGGGTATTAGCTGTGCATGGGTGATGGAAGTTTTAGAACAGCATCAATACAGCATGCAGAGGGCACTAAATTAGGAAAAATTAATCCAGAATTAAAATAGTGTGCTTGGTCATTCTACCATTGACACTGTTCTGCAGTGTGGGTCACCGTGATGCAGTTTTTCATCACGATTCATTTATTATTATAAATGCCAGCATACCGTACATTTATATCTTTAGCATGCTAGATTAACAATAACCCCTTCATATTACATAGCAGTATGAATCCAATATATCCACCTTAAACCATAAAGACAAATCAAAAAGAAAGGCTTGCCTGTGAAAGTGAATTTTCAGATTTCAGATATTCAGAATTCCATGAAATCCAGAAGCCTCCAAGTCTCCATTCCCC